TCTGTAAGCCTTCACCTGAAGTACAATAAAATATATTAAAAAATTAAAAAAAAAAGATACCCTACCCTGATGGCGTAGTGGTTAAGAGCTCAGGCTGCTGACCAAAAGGTTGGCAGTTTGAATCCACCAAGTGCTCCCTGAAAACCCTACAGGGCAGTTCTACTCTGTCCTACAGGGTTGCTATGAGTTGAAATCGACTCGATGACAGCGGGTTTGTTATGGTTTGGTTGCCATTGAGTCCATCCCAACCCAGGCTGACCCATGTGTGTCAGAGTGGCACTGCACTCTGTATTGTTTTCAATGGCTGTAATCTTACGGAAGTAGATCGCCAGGCCTTTCTTCTGTGGTGCCACTGGGTGGATTTGAACTGCCAACCTTTCTGTTAGTAACTCAGCACAAACCATTTGTACCACCCAGGGAAGCTTACCCACCAAATGAGCCGTTTTCAAGGGGGGTTCTTTTTATCAAAAGACAAAAAATTTAGAATAAATAAATATAGGTTCCATGTTTTAAAAAAAAAAATAGTTAAAATTTTTTGATGTTTACCTTCATACTTATTCTTACACAAAAATTATAACAGATTCTTAGTTAATAAACTATATTTAATAGAACCACAATAAACATTTAATCAATAAATTTGCATTTTTCCTGGAGTTGGTAAATGTTACACTAAATCACCTTCAACTTTTTAGTCCCTTCTTGTAGTCAAGGCATTCATTGCATACTATTTCCTTTGTGAGAAGATAAACAATCTATATAGGGCTTAAACCTATGACCTTAACTTATTAAGGAGCATGCAATAATCAATCAAACTAATTCTGATATTATCAACATGCTTGAGATTACTCCAGAAAAACCTGTGTATTCTACTTCTCATTTACATACACAAAAAGTAAAAATAACATGCACTGAACCACTTACGAACTGCTGGGTTGTGTCAAATATATAAGTTCACATGTCCTGGAAAGAAGAAATAATTATATTAAGATTAGAGCTATTTTTTAAGTTGCTTTGTATTTTTTTTTTCATAATTTCTGAGGAGATTAAGAAAACAACTCCATTTACAATAGTATCTAAAAGAATAAAATATATAGGAATAAATTTAGCCAGGAATATGAAAGACTTACACAATGAAAATTATAAAACACTGCTGAAAGAGACTAAAGAACAATGGATGGAAAAATGTTCCATGCTCATGGACTGGAAGACTTAATATAGTCACCATGTCAATTCCACTCAAAGTGATCTGCAGATACAACAATCCTGATCAAAATTCCTTCAGTACTCTTTACAGAAAGGGAAAAACTAATCCTCAGTTTTATATGCAAATATACGAGACCCCCAATATCCAAAGCAATTTTGAAGAAGAAGAACAAAGAAGGAGGCCTCACACTTCCTGACTTCAAAACATATTACACAGCTATAGTAATCAAAACAGCATGGTACTCATTTAATGACAGACACACAGACAAATGGAAAAGAACTGAAAACCCAGAAACAAATCCAGTCATCTATGGTCAACTGATTTTTGACAAGGGAGTCATATCCATTCAATGGGGAAGGAACAGTCTCTTCAACAAATGATGCTGGCAAAATTGGATTTCCACATGCAGAAAAATAAAACAAGATCCATACCTCCTACCATACACAAAAACTAATTCAAAATGGTTTGAGGACCTAAATGTTAAATCTAAAACCATAAAGTTCTTGGAAGAAAATATAGGAGCAAAGCTTTGGGACCTAATTTTTTTCAGTGATAGGTTATCAAACACAACAACGAATGCATGAGCAACAGATAACAAAATAGATAACTGAGACCTCATAAAAGTTAAATACTTAGTTCATAAAAAAAGACCTTATCAAAAGAGTACAGACACAACCCACAGACTGGGAAAAAATCTTCGGGAAAGATATGACCGATAAGGATCTAATATGTAAAATATATAGAAAACATCTACAACTTAACAATAAAAAGACAAATAACCCAATCAAAAACTGGGCAAAGGACATGAACAGACATTTCACCAAAGAGGATATTCAAATGGCCAACAGACACACAAAAAGATACTCAATATCATTAGCCATCAGAGAAATGCAAAGCAAAACCATTTCACTCCCACTAGGATGGCTAAGACAAAAAAATGGAACAAGCGCTGGAGAGGATGTGGAGAAACTGGAAGTCTCATCCACTGCTGGTGAAAATACGAAATAGTACGACTGTTGTGGAAAACTGTCTGGCGGTTCCTCAAAAAATTAGAGGTAGAGCTGTTGTATGACCCAGCAATTCCACTCCTAGGTATATACCCTAGGAATTTAATACAAATGACACAAACAGACTGTAGGTTGTCTCTGTACTCTTTTGAGTATGCACCTATGTTCACTGCAGCACTATTCACAATAGCTAAAAGATGAAAACAACCGAAGTGCCCATTAATGGATGAATGATGGCCCACACATACAATGGAATACTATTTAGCGGTAAAGAAAAATGAGCTCCTGAAATATAACGTGGATGAATCTGGAGGATATTCTGTTGGGTGAAATGAATCAACCACATAAAATATACAGTTATTTGGAACTCAGATACATTTGTAATTGATTCTAGTTATAATAAATCTGATCAGAATCCCAGATCAGGCCATAAAAGTCTATTTAATTAATAGTCTCGTTAATATAACACAACTAAAAAGTTCTACAAAACTTAATTGTTCCAGATAACAACTTCCACAGTGGCAGAGTGAGGAGACTCATGGATCGCTCCCTGGCGAAACAACCATAATTGGTGAAAATTAGGGGAAAAAAAACTATTTAAAGTCTCTGGAAATTATCCTTAAGGGTATACAGCAAATAAACATTTCTTCAAGAAAAACTACTAAATCTCAGTAAAAACAGTGATGGTCTGTGGAGTTCAAGCCAAAATTTATTCCATCCCCCCCTCCAGTTCAATATAATGAAACTGTACTCCAGGCAGGTGCAGTTGAGACACAGGGCTTCCTCTCTCCACAGTTCCCAGCCTAAGGCTATAGTATCTCCCTAGGAAGGACAGGCTTCTAGCATTTCTCACTACCCTCAGATCCATGCTGCAGAAGATCTATTCTAGGCAAGAGGAGCTGGGAAGTTTGGGGCTCCCTTCCTCCACTTTACCCTCACTTGCAGGGTGGAAGCTCTGTCCCGCACACAGCAGGCTGAGAATACTGGGGCCCCAACTGCCCTGCCTCATTTCACTCATAGGGCAGAGGTTCTAGGCCAAGAGAAACAATCTAAGAAGACGAGAGGCTATCATCCCTGCCCAGTGTCCCACTCTTAAAGCAGGAGTGTCACTCTAAGAGTAGGCCACTTTCCCGCTTTCCCCACCCCCATCTCCTGTGCAGTGACACAGAAGTTTCACCCAGGGGGAGAGACAGGCATTAATAACAGAAACCTTTGAAGCTCTCCCCAACAGAATTAACTTAATTTGGAACAGAGTTTTGGGAAGTTGAAGCCTAAGGCAGAATCTGGTGGCAAGTAATCAAGAAGAGGCTTGTAATGCCATGAAAGCAACGAGCTAAACCCTAGACCATCTAGAAATTTAACAGAGAGAACCAAAGAAGGAGACAGCTGAGAAGAGTTCTCCAGGGGTCAGAATAAGCCTCAAAGACTTGCCTCAAAGACAAGGGAGCAAGGGAGCAAGGGAGCAGATTTTAACAGAATCAGACTATGGAGTAATTTGTACCCAAGGCAATGTTGAAAACAATAAAGCAATCAGTGAACAATTAGTGGAGGCTAACAACTGGGTGTTACATTCACAGAGGCAGATAGCATAACAGAGATATCCAGGAAAAAGACAATCAAAGATAGCCCTGTTAAAACCACTATCACCTCAGAGTGACAGTTCATATGCCCAAAGCTGTACCCTCTGAGAAGCGACATCAGAGGCTGCACACTGTGGGGGAAACAGACTTCACTGAAATAGTCCAGTCATGTCAGTAAACAAATAAACAACAAACAACAGTAAGTCCCAGGGAGGGAGGAGAATCAGTACCCAGACTGCTACAGTATCTTAATTAAAATGTCCAGTTTTCAACAAAAATTATGAGACATGCAAAGAAAGAGGAAAGAGTAACACCTAAACAAACAAAGAGGCAACAGAAACTGCATTTGAAGAGCCCATATGTTGGATTTAACAAACACTTCAACTATTATAAATATGTTCAAAGAATTAAAGGAAATCATGTTTAAAGAAGTATGATGACAAAGTATCATCAAATAGAGGATACCAAAAGAGATAAACTCATAAAAAATAATCAAATGGATTTCTAGACTTGAAAAGAACAATAACTGAAATGACAAATTCACTAGAAGGGCTCAACAGTAGATCTGAGCTGGAAGAAGAAAGAACGTTAAAATTGAAGACAGCTCTATAGAGATTAGGCAATCTAAAGAACAAAGAGAACGAACGATGAAAAATGAACAGAGACTCACAGACATGTGGGACACAATTATATGTGTAATGGGAGTACCAGAGAGAGAGGAGAGAAGGAACAGAAAAAATATTTGAAGAAATAATGGCTGAAAACTTCTCAAATCTGATGAAAAACTTAATCTACACATCCAAGACACTTAACAAACTCCAAGTAGAATAAATGCAAAGAGATTCACACCCAGACACATCCTAGTGAAAATGTTGAAACACAAAGACAAAGAGAAAAATCTTGAAAGCAGCCCGAGAAAAAATGACTCAACATATACAAAGGAACAACAATAAGATTAACAGCAAAGCTGTATTAGAGTAAAGAAACAACACCAGATGGTAACTGAAATCCACAGGAACAAATTAAAAGAACAGGAAATGTTAAATAAGATTAATATAGCAAAATCAGTAAATATACACTGCTCTCCTTTATACTCTCATCTTCTTTAAAAGACATACAATACAAATGTCCATCAACTGATTAACGGATAAATAAAATGTGATATAGCCATACAGTAAAATATTATTCAGCAATAAACAAAAATGAGGTACATGCTACAACATGGATGAACCCTGAAAGCATTAAGCTAAACGAACGAAGTCAGTCACAAAAGACTTCATACTGGATGATTGCATTTACAAGAAATGTCCAGAATAGGCAAATCCATAGAGACAGAAAGTACAGTAGAGGCTACCTAGGGCTGGGGAGGTTTGTGGAAAAATAAGGAGTGACTGTTAATGGGCATGAGGCTTCTTTTTGGAGTGATGAAAATGTTCTAAAACTGATTGTGGTGATGATTGAACAATTCTGTGAATACACTGAGTTGTACACTTTAAATAAGTCATGTGTATGGTATAAAAATTATGTCTCCACAAAGTTATTATATCTCAATAAAATTATTTGCTGAGCAAATAATCCGAGAAGCTGGACTATATGAAGAAGAATGTGGCATCAGAATTGGTGGAGGACTCATTAACAACCTGAAATATGCAGATGACATAACCTTGCTTGCTGAAAGTGAGGAGGACTTGAAGCACTTACTAATGAAGATAAAAAACTACAGCCTTCAGTATGGATTACACCTCAACATAAAGAAAATAAAAATCCTCACTACTGGACCAATAAGCAACAACACGATAAATGGAGAAAAGATTGACGTTGTCAAGGATTTCATTTTACTTGGATCCACAATCAATGCCCATGGAAGCAGCAGTCAGGAAATAAAACAATGTATTGCATTGGGCAAATGTGCTGCAAAAGACCTCTTTAAAGTGTTGAAAAGCAATGTCACTTTGAGGACTAAGGTGCACCTAACCCAAGCCATGACATTTTCTATCACCTCACGTGCAAGTGAAAACTGGACAATGAATAAAGAAGACTGAAGAAGAACTGATGCCTTTGAATTATGGTGTTGGTAAAGAATATTGAATATACCATGGACTGTCAGAAGAGCGAACAAATCCATCTTGGAAGAAATACAGCCAGAGTGCTCCTTGGAAGCGAGGTTGGCAAGATTTTGTCTCATATAGTTTGGACATGTTATCAGGAGGGACCAGTCCCTGGAGAAGGATATCATGCTTGGTAAAGTAGAGGGTCAGCAAAAAAAAGGAAGACCTTCAATGAGATGGACTGACACAGAAGCTGCAACAATGGACTCAAACTTAGCAACAATTGTGAGGATGGCGCAGGACCAGTCATTGTTTTGTTTTGTTGTACACAGGATTGCTATGAGTTGGAACTGACTTGACAGCACCTAACAACACGAACAACAAGAAGGTTGTTTAAAAAAAAGAAGCCTAGATGTTCTTTATGCTGTTTGTGTCTATGGAAAAATTAATTCCACGTTCAATCTAAGCACTCTGAATATAACTCCCATTGCCACAGTGCCATGGGAAGGCCGCTCTTCCCCACCTCTCAGAGAAAAAGATATACAGACAAAGATACATAGCCCTAACTTTAGTGCCTTTGGTATTGGCAAAAAATAATTACATCAAGACCTCTAGCAACTGGGGTCTTTCAGTCACTCCAGTAGAAGAAGGAGGGAAAGGCCCTGGCTGAAGGAGCAGAGGTTAAATGGGGGCAGTGTAAAAAATCAGAAAGAAGGACCTCAAAACGGCCTTTAACAACTTTACCTTTCAGTGAGAAAAAGTTTCAAAGGCCCTGGCCCTCTACAATTGAAGTTCCAATTCCTTCACCAGCCTGGGTTCCACTGAAGGTGGGTGGGAGTAATAAAGCAAAAGAGATCAAATAGCACTGGGGACAGAAGGAAGATGGAGAAAGAAAAAAACTGGAAGATACTGGCATTTTACTTGCTTAAGGCTAAATAAATCTGACTACGTTACTCTCCAGTTTAAAACCCTTCAATAACTCTCCATCCACTGCAGGACAAAATCCAAGTTCCTAATAAGTTTCATAAGAACCGGATTACTATTCTGATCTCTTCCTGCCTTTTCAGCCATTACAATGTCAAAGCACATCATGCTACTGCAGGCCTTTGTCACTTTGTACACAGGCCAATCACTGACTAGGATCTCAGTACCAGCTCCCACTCATTTTACTGGGTGAATTTCTATTTATCCTTTAAATCCTATTCAGACACTGCTTTCTTCCAGCTTTTTCCTGACCAAGTCCCACTCCTACCATTACCCTCCCCACCCTTACACAAACACAATGTAATACTTTCCCCTCTATGTTATTTCTACGTTTAACATATGATCCTCTACAAGAAAGCATCACACACATTAGTGCATTTATCTTTATAAGAATATTATTTATTTATTTACTGTCAGCTTCTTGATGATCACAGTGTCATATGATTGTGTATTCCTAGCACTTAACATACAGCCTGGCACTAACAGTCACTCAGTTAAGGCTGCTTGTGGTTTGTCCATTTATTTGAAATAAAACTGCTGACCGTGTCAAGTTTCTTAAAGTATATTCCACAAAACACTAGTTTCCCAATATTTTAATTGATATTAAATACATACATACACAAGCAATCTAGTAAGCTTAGGAAATGTTGAGCTCAACAAAGTTCAACAGATTTTCTTATACAGGATTTCTCAGAACTTTTGGTTTTAATGTACATTGTGATTCTTTAAGAGGGGGATATGGTAAGCAATGTTTCCCAAATTTGGCCATTATTTTTGTTTGTTTTAAAAGTTAATATTCATGGGAACTTTACTATATATGTGTCAGGCACTGGACTCAGCACTTTTCATGAATTATTAAAATCTAACAGGGAGGTACTGTTATCAACTCATTTTACATATTAGAAAACCACAGCACTAAAGTAACTGACTTGTCCAAGATCACACAGTATGTGTTGGAGCCCAGACTAGCATCCAAATCTGTCTGACTCAAAAGATTCTGTTCTCTTCACTAAGCTCTATTACAGCCTTCCTTTTCTTCGGTAGGATATTACACCAGACTACAGTTTCACAGAAAATGCTTTGGGAACTGTGGTTTTGTGTCCTATTTACTAACCTGGAAATATTGGTGTTCACACTGTCCTAAAGAAAAAACATGAGGAATGGGAGGTAGAAGGAGTCCTGGTGGCATAGTGGTTAAGAGCTCAGTTGCTAACAAAAAGGTCGGCAGTTCAAATCCACCAGCTGCTCCTTGGAAACCCTACAAGGCAATTCTACTCCATCCTATAGGGTCACTACGAGTCGGAATCAACTTGATGGCAACAGGTTTGATTTTTGTTTGGTTGGGAGATAGAAAGAGCTTGAGCACTCCAGAATCGGCCATACAATATATTAAAGCTTTCATTTTTTATATATAATAGTTGTAATATTCAGCTTTAACTTTCTTTTCTTTTAACATCAGAATTTTCTATTAAGCTAGTCTATAATTTTCTTCTCCCCACCCTTGAAGACTAACTACTTTTACCCCTCAAAATAAAGACACAAAACAAATATATATTTTTTAAATAAAATCTTAACATGGGTGGGTGTCATGGACTGAAATGTGTCCCCCAAAAATACGTGTATCGATTTGGCTAGGCCATAATTCCCAGTATTGTGTGATTGTCTACCATTTTGTCATCTGATGTGATTTTCCTATGTGTTGTAAATCCTACCTCTATGATGTCAATGAGGTGGGACAGGCGGCAGTTATGTTAATGAGGTAGGACTCAATCTACAAGATTGGACTGTGTCTTGAGCCAATCTCTTTTGAGATATAAAAGAGAGAAGCAAGCAGAGAGACAGGGGGACCTCATACACCAAGAAAGCAGCACCAGGAGAAGAGCATGTCCTTTGGACTCAGGGTCCCTGTGCCAGAAAAGCTCCTAGACCAGGGAAAGATTGATTACAAGCACCTTCCTTCAGAGTCGATAGAGAGAGAAGGACTCCACCTAGAGCTAACACCCTGAATTTGGACTTGTAGCCTACTAGACTGTGAAAGAATAATCGTCTCTTTGTTAAAGCCATCCACTTGTGGTATTCCTGTTATAGTAGCCCTAGATAACCAAGACAGTGGAGTGGGTAAAAAGAAAAAATGATTGGCTTCCATGGGTAATTTGGTGTATTTATTGGTTATTGATCTTTGTTTATAGGAAAATGGAGTGGTAAACCATTTAAATGAAGTAGATGATAGAAGTCTGTAATTATCTATAAGGTTATTCCATCCCTTCCTTTTCTAGCTCTTCCTTATGATCCAGGAGGATCTATATGGAATCAACTCAATAGCAACTGGTTTAACACTGGGGAGCAGAAGGCTACAATTTGGATGAAAAGTATATCAAAAACTTTTCCGAAGTTATTTGAATTTCATCATACTCATAGTTGAACAATATTGGTTAAAAGTCTTCTAAACCACAATCGGGAGTACAAATCATAGCTCAGTAGTACAGATCACATACACCTTCCATTGCCAGTACTTTTTCTCTTTCTAAACTAAATAACAGTATGAGGAAGAGGTTTAAATTCAGGTCCCTCCTCCATTCAGAACTAGAAGTGTTCTGGCAAGGGAAGGCTAAGGTGAAAACTAAGCTTGAAGTTTGCTACAACAAATATGAGACATGAAAGGAGACCAAAACAGTTAATTTTGGAGGAAGCATTCGGAACGCATATGACTTGGTAAATAAAAAAGCTATGAGTTAGTAATAATAATTATAATTCATAATTAAAAATAGCAAAGGAGACATAAATCTATAAAATCTAAGGGATAATACTTAACAACTTTACTAAATATGTAATAGTTTCCACATGGACTCCAACTATGACCAATAACCAGATTGTAACCCTAATAAAATTTTTACTTTACCTTTCTAATTTGCTGTAGAGTGCACATAATACGTTATACTTCTTCAACAGTCTTGACATAGCATTATCAACTTTGGTACTTGTATCGATTTCTTTTAGTAAGTCAAAGAATTTATAGACACTAAAAAGGAAAGAAGAGAAAAAGTGAAAACAGTAACTTAAAAAAAATCATTTTGTTTCCAAAGCACAGACATTTAAATTCAAAAAATTATTAGCTATATACCAAATCACTAGCACATCCCTTCAAGGGAATTATTTTTTGTATTTTACTAAAATTTAAAGAGGAAAAATAATAACAAGTCTTCAACCTACACCCTGTATCTATCTACCTATCTATCTACCTATCTATCTATCTATCTACCTATCTATCTATCTATCTATCTATCTATCTATCCATCATCTATCTATCTATGCCTGCATCTATTTATTGCTGAGAATAAAGGAAGGAAGGCAGAAAGGTAAAACCTAAAGTTACACACAAACATTTAAAAAAAAAAAAAAGCCATTGCCACTGAGTTGATTCCAACTCATAGCGACCCTATAGGACAGAGTAGAACTGTCCCATACAGTTTCCAAGGAACGGCTGGTGGATTTGAACTGCCTACCTTTTGGTTAACAGCCAAGCTCTTAACCACTGTGCCACCAGGCCTCCGCAGACAGACACAGACAATGGCAAACTCACCTCATGCTTCCCCTCACAGGGATGCCCTCCTCATTCCACTCAGGCTTGACTCCCCATAATGGGCTGCCCACGTGTGGATGCCCCCTTCACCTGCTCAAGCTCTGACACCTCTGTAGGACACTCCTCATTCCACTCAGGCTCTGATTCCCTGCAACAGTTCCCTCATCTCCCAATATGGAGATCTTCTCACCCTGCTCAGCCCTCACCCCCACCCGATGTGGACGCGTTCCTTCTCTATTCTGGCTCTGACAAGCCTCATCAAGTAGCCTCCTTCCGCCTACCCACCCCCCC